ATAGGACTGTTGAAGATTATAAAATAAGCATACTGAAGATGTCCAAAGAAACAATGAAGACATTAAAGCAAAATAAAAAATCATGAAACAGAACAGGCAGAAATACAATAAGAACAGGTGGATAGAAACAAAATTAGAAATCTTTTAGAAATTAAAAATATACAGTCATTAAAATATTGATAAGGACAGGAAAATTTTAGATTAGATATGGTCAGAAAGTGAACCTATGAATGTGAATTACTTGTGGAGAACTCAGAATCAGAGCAGTCATATAAAATGATAAAAAAAAATTACAAAAAATCAGTTAAGAACCAAGCTGTTGAGAGAATCCAACAGTTATCTAATAAAAATTCTTGAAGAAGAGAATCAAAGGAATGGGGGGAAAGAAATATTTGAAGAGATATTTTCCCAGTAATTGCTCAGAAATAAAGAAAGAGATTCTCAAGTGGAAAGTATATTCACAGTAGCAAGCAGGGTGGATAGAAATAAATACATATCTAGATACATCAGAGTGAAAAGCAGACCGTTAAGATTTTAAAAAATCTTGAAACCTACCCAAGAAAAGATGTTATCAAAAACAATTAAATGATGGCAGACATCTCATCGGCAATTATGTCAGAAAACATGAAAAAAACATCCCACAGTACAAAGAAAAGTCCTCAAAACAGCCAGACTATCATTCCAGAAGGAAGTCAAAATAAGGACATACATAGATTAAAAGGGTTGCCCATGGACTCTCACTAAATTAGGCATTAAAGAATTCACTTCAGTAAGGTAACATCAGATAACCTTGGGAAAATAAATAGGAAAACAAGAAAATGTATAAATGGTGTAAGAAAAGTCAATTAGCTAATGATAATAATAATAATAATAATAATAATAATAATAATAATAAAACAATTGTTTTTATTTTTTGCAAAAGTTTAACTTCAATCTAAATATTAACAATCAGGTGTTGACGGGCCGTGTGCAATAGGGGTTAAAGCATGCTAAGGCTCCTTTGTGGCTGAAAGGATCATAGTAAATTTGGATAACTGTCGACTTTGAAAGAAAATGTATAGTCAAGTATATATCCAAAGGATAACAAGTTAAGGTTAGAAATAAAATCTGTAGCATCCAAATCTGCAGAAGAATAAAAAAAAAATAGGCAGGTGGTATATAAAACATAATCCCATAAAAAGAAAGTCAAAAGAAAATGAATAATAAACAGAAAGCACAAATATGATGGTAGAAATATGTCCAAATATATAAGTAATTATAATGGATATAAATAGATTAAATTCACCTGTCACAATATAGAGATTTTATATATATATATATATATATATATTTAAAGGAGATAACTGTACATTCAAAAGGTAACCATAAAAGGTAAAGGAAGAAGGCTATCTCCATACCAAGTATAAAGACAATATTAAAATTAAGATGGATTATAAGGATGGCAATGTGGAGTCAATGCAGAGTCAGAGTGGTAGGCCAATAAATAGTACAGAGAGCTCAGAAACAGACACTGTATATAGGAAAATTGATATATGACAGATGTGTGATTGCTAATAAGTGAGAAAAAGGATGGACTAGTTTTTGTATGGTGCTGACACAATGGGTTATCCATACATAAATTAAAAAATAATTAAATTCCTACATCATATTATACACAGATATGACAAAGATCAGTCCTAAATGAGATCAAGACTTGTGTGACACAAAATCTGACAATTCTTAGAGGTAAATACAGGAGAATATTTTTCCAGGTAGCAAAATATTTATATTCTTAAATAAGTCACAAAAACAGGCTAATAAAGCATGAGATTGATACATTTGCTACATTAAAATAAGTAAAACCTTCCATACATCAAAATATATCATAATCAAGTAAGAAAAAACACAAGCCACAGTCTGGGAGAGGATATTTGCAATGCATATAAGTGACAAAGCAGTATTGATATTTAGAATAATAAGAAACTACAAAAAAAAAAAAACAATAAAAATTTGTGAAAAGATATAAAATGTCACTTCACAGAAGAATAAACCAACATGGCCAATAAACATATGAAAACATATTACCAGTAATCAGGGAAAAACATATTATAAAAGTAATGGGATACCATTTCACATTTATCATGACAACTAGTAAAAATGTATAAGTCTGACAATTCCATGTTTGTTTAGGAGTCAGGGAAATGGAAACTCTTATACTTTGTTGTTGGAAGTATAAATTTGTTTAACTACTTTAGCAAACCACTGGTCATTATGTAGTAAATTTGACAATGTGTACACTCAGTAATTCCTCTCCTAGCTATGTGACCTAGAGAAATTCTCATTCTTACGCACAGGAGGAGATACACGAACATGCTCTTAGTAGCATTGTTTGCAATTGAAAAATAACTGTAAATATCCTAAATTATGATCAGTGAAATGGATGCATGAATTGTGATCTAATCATTTGTGGAATACCATATAGTAGTTAAAATGAATGAACCAGAGTTACGCGTATCTAATATGAATAAATCTCTACAATGAGTAGGGCAAAATTAAGAGAATAACTTTTATAGTGTGACACCACTTGTAGGAATTTGTAAAGCAATACTAGTTAAACATGTGGATACAAAAATATGAAGAAATATTGAACTCATTATAGTGGTTACCTCTAGGGTGAAGGGAGAGAGATGGGATGAGGTATTATTAGAAAAAAGTCTCAACCAGATTTACACATTTTTTAAAACAGGAAACCCTTGGCATCAATGGCATACCACTGATATGACAAAGCCAAGGTGTTGGGGGAGAGAAGCAGTAAATGGCTATTCATTGTATCTCTACTCTTTTCTGTAATATGAAATAATTCACAATAAACACAGATGATAAGCCTTCCCCACCAGCAGTTTTGAAGTCATAGTCTATGAGGAAGGGAGCATCAGACTGCAGTCTGTGTTGAGGGTGGCCTGAGAGGTGTGCAGACAAGCTAGTGCCTTACACTGGCTGCCCCAGTGAGGTAGGAAGCCCACTGTGAGCTGCTGCTGCTTCTGGTGAGGTGGGGGAATGGGATGACTTGAAAAGTAAGAGACAGCTAATAACAATAGAGGAAAGTGCTTCTCGCATAGAATGGAGTTGTCCAGATAATTCAAGGTCTAATGGTGCTTCCTAACCTTCCCAAGTGATGGCGCACACAGACCATATTTGTATGGCACACTAGAGAAAAGCCCGCCACTGTGGGGCTCCAGCTACCTCAGGTCCTACTGTGCCTCTGGGAGCTGAGTGGGGCAATATGTCACGGTGTACATCTCATAATATCACATAAGTGTAGGCGATGCACAGTTCACCAGTGTGCCATAGCACACACGTATTCTTTCCTCATCTAAAAGTAGAGAAAATTATAGACTATTCTAAACTCGGGCAGCACTTAGCGTGTTGTAATTCCACAGCTGTCCACCAGGAGCGCACTGAGTCATACTGCTTTGGCTTGAATCTGTGCACTATCAGTCAGGAAGAGAGCGAGCTAGCAGTTAAAGAGAGTCTGAAAGTTTTCTTCTAAAGCAACTGCAGACAGATCCAGAACCCTCTACAGTGCATACTGTGGCATCATATCAGGGTGTGGTCAAATAAGACTGGAAGCAGGTAACCTGTGAAGTGGAACAGGACTGAGAGCAACCGGACAGGACAGAACAAACGGAATTGCTCACCAGCACCTTATGGGGGAGAAACTGGTAGGTCACACTGCTGACTGAGCCACTCAGTTATATTAGCTTATGATTGGGAATTTCTATATATATGTAATCATATATATGTTAAATGTAGCTCATTCGATGGCACAGATTAAACATTATTCATCTTTGTTCTTCTAAAGTCTCAACTTCAAAAAGCTCTATCTGGTGGAAATACAGTAAGATCTCCTGAACTGGGTGGATCCAACTCACATGTGCAGTCACTGTTGTATTGTTATAGAGACCAGATGGAGAGCTAGCCTTTGTGCCAGGCCAGTGCCTGCGTTGGGAAGTTCCTCAGCCTCCTGGGACATGAGCCGAATGGCCCTGGAATACAGCATAACAGGCTTGGTGAAGGGCAGGGATGACATGGAACAGGCCTGTTGGTACTAGAATATGAACATACCTCCATACTTATTGGTAATTAGCCATGCTCAGAGCCCGCTGACCCTGCCACGACCACTCTACAACCCTAGCCCCCTCCCAGGACCCCATCTCCTCACAGTCCAGCAACCAACGTATAAAGCCTAACACAGCAGGGGGTCACCAGGGCTGTTTTATATTTTTACGTCCACCAGTGAGTGAAGAGGAATCACCACACCTACTCTCGAATGCTCCTTCGTCCTGCTGGCACCATCATCTCCTTGGATCCTAAGAGAGAACAGTACCTCTCGGCCAGTTTTGCCTCAAGTTCTCAAAGTAAACTAAAATACCTTTCTGGCAAAACTGAGCAGCTCAACCTCTCTCTAGGCATTGCCAGGCTCAGGGGAAAAAAAGGGCCTTTTAATCCCAGGGCCACAGCTTTGTTGGAGAACTTGACCTTTCCCTATGAAGGTGGGAGACGAGCGCCATCCTGACCCTCAGCACAGAGGCCAAACCTGGTCACTCTCCCAGACTGGTCCTTCATCATGAGCCATCCCCTTTTCATCCCATGCCACCTGCCAGGCAGCTGCCCCATCCCCCACGATTTTAAAACTTATTTCTCACAATACCAGGACACTTCCTTGACCTTTGAGTTTATCAAGTGATCTGGCAAGAACCTGACCCGGGAATATGCAGCCACACCAGAGTATTAGCCCTGCCGTCTGCAGAGTCAAGAGGAGGCAGCAAGAGCTGGGAGGGAGAAAAGGCGCAGCCTGTGGGGCAGAGGTTGGGGGAGAAGGGTCATTCATGGCGCAAACGAGTTCTGCTGTTCATTCGGGGAGTCAGAGGAGGAGGGCAGGAATTGCATTTGGGTAGACAACCAGGCATCACTCTGGGAGACGCGGGAAAAGCCAAAGCACAGTGGCCACAACTACTCACCGGGGCTGGTTATTGTCAGGAGGTCAAGCTGCCGCTGTTGCTGCAAAAAAAAAAAGAAAAAGAAAAAAAAACACATTGTGAGAGCACTGATTTGAGCCAGAGACAAACTTGTGCTTAGCAAGTCAGATGGACATAAAAGGGGGTGTTCAGACGCCAGAGCAGGGTGATACATTGGTGCTCACAATTCTGCAGAGACAGAGGGAATGGTCAGCTTTTTTGTTTGCCCTTGGATGGTCAGAGCTGAGAGGGTCTTAGAGGTCTTCCAGTCAAAGCTACATTGTACTTACTATATTGTACCACGGGGTCAGTCACCTGCACCAGAGGGCCTTAGATGTTTCTTTGCTCACTCTGGCTGCACCAGTTACGTGGTTGACATCCTGGCAATTATCTTTGCCTTGGGTCCTTACGTCATTGTTACGCCTTGCTAGCCAAGATATTCCTGGGCTGCTTTATTTCTTGAATTTGCTCAGCAATGCTATGACAATTTCAATAACTGATGATCAAACTATTCCTTCTCTAACTGAACCTTCACTTCCTTGTACCACACAACATTCAAAGAAAGTATTATTTGTCAGGTGCACTGGGTCGTATGGATGAGGCCACATGTGTTTGGAGTCAACTAGCCTTGGGTACCCCAAGGGCTGAGGTGATCAACAATTCAGGAGGGTTGCCCCATCACAGCCTACTGTGGGGAAGCTCTGCTCTGTCTGGACTGGGTGTCACGGGAACCTGGGGATGGAAAAGTGGGTATGTGGTCGGGGGGTGGGGCAGTGGTGAGCAACTCTCTTTCAGTGCACGGGACAATGCCCAACTGAGCCACACTGGCCAGGGTTGCAACTCTCTTACAGACTTAAGTCAGGATTCCTTATGCCCCAGTCTACCTCTTTCTTCTTCCTACTCTTGATTTTTCATAAATAGTACCAAAAACTTGTAATTCTTTTTTCTTAAAAGGGGTCTAAACAAGCTCCACTTTGAGAACGTTGCACAGGCTACACATTGCAGGGGATTCTGATGACCTGGTGTTTCATCTAATGGATGCTTTGCCATCCTCCACCCTGCCTGTGTCTCCTGCTTTATCTCATCTCTCTCCAACAATGGCTTCCTGAAGTTCGCTTAAGCAGCAGAGGAAGGCAGCAACATTTTTTTGTGTATCAACTATAAGCCAGGCACAGTACCAGACACTTCGATGTGCCGTTTCTTTTTATGTTCTCGGCGAGCCCACAGGGTTGGTATTGTACAGAGGAGGGACACGAGGTTCCGAGAGGAGAAATGATCTGCCCAAGGCCACACCTTCCCTAAATGGCAGGGCCAGAACGAGGATTCAGTCAGTCTCATCCTGGCTTAAAGGCCCTGGTATTCCATCGGTGCTCAGCAAAATGAAATGTTTAACACTGATGTTGTTATTATTATATGCCATGGGCCCTCAGTTTATATAAGCTACCTTTTCCTCTTCGTAGAATTATGGATGCTCAGAACTCAAAGGTCACCGAGTCTGACCTGGTACCAGGACAGGAATGCCCTCTGCCATGTCCCAGCTAGTTGTACAAACTGCTTCTGTTCCATCCCTTGTCTTGATGAGGAACTCACTATTACTATCAGTCTGAGAGCTCTACTTTGAGCAGGGTTGAAACCCGCTTTCTTATGACATCATCACTCTTTCCAGCTGCCTTAGCCCATGGCAACGGTTTGGACAGATGAAGATCTGTTCATTCTTCTCTGCAGGCTAATTAGTCCCAGTTCCTTTGTCCTTTCCCCATAAGACCTGGCCTCCATTCTCCCTGCTCTGTGGTCACCCTCCTCCTCCATTTAACGTTGGCCCGTCCCAGTCAAAGGCTCTTTAAGATCTCGCTGTCCCTGCTTCAGTGACTTCTCATCAGCCCAGATGCACATCTGCATCCTCTCATGGTCTTCTCAATCACTCATCCTTGTTTTCCTGCCAGCTTATTACTTTCTAGTTGACATTTTCAAGCAAACAGTGCAATTCCAAGATGTCATTGACCTACATTGGGAGCATATATGCTTGTGCTGAAATGAAAGACACACATGGGCCAGAAGAAATGCCAGAGCTAGACCGCCTTCCTTCCCAAGCACAGAACTAGGCCAGTAGCACAGTTGGCTCAAGCTGCCTTTGCCGAGGCCAAGCTGTGTGGCCAGGCACCTTCCTCATGCATGTGGAAAGAACACAATGTGTCCTTCTATGTTTCCATAAGCTTGACTGCTGTTTATCTGAAGAATATCTATTTCCTAATTAACAGCTATCTCTAAAGGGTAGCTCTGTGTCCAGGGTTCAGCAGAGGAGAAAGGGAAGAAAACCTGACGGGAGGCAGACACCTGGGCTTGTGTCCTGACTCCTCTGTGTGGCTTTGGATAACCTACTCTGTGTTTCTGGCTTCAAACTTCACACCTTGTAAACAAGTGAGTGAGACTGAAATACCTTCAGGGACTCCAGTCAATGCAACCAGGTACTGTGCTTGTGGGCTCCCTCTGCTGGTATAGCGAGTTCCCAGAGGATCCCTGTAGCCAGGGTCCTGGGGGCTCAAAGGACAGATTCTGAATTTAAAAGGGGCCAAATTTAAGCTTTGCTTTTCTTTGAAAATTTCAGAGCATGTGTGTTTTCCTCACTAGTCGAGGAACATCTTAAGGGCCTGGAACATTTATTTCAATCCATGGCACAGAGTAGCCCTCAGTAAATATTTGCTTAAAAGTCAACTAAATTTCCTGAATCCACATGATTCTTTCAAATGTCCAAGCCTTTGCTCATGTTGGCGTCCCAGCATAGTTTAATCTCTCATAGTCTTTGTGGAGGTGCCTCCTTACTTCTTAAGGCCTGCACGAGGTCTTCTCTGCACACCAACTCCCAAACCTAACCTTTTCTCTCCCTTCCTCAGAACAGAATAAATAGTTCACTTTGTTCCAATGTATTTTGTAAAACATACCTGTGTATCATACTCTGTCCTAACTGACTGCTTCCTTCTGTTTCCCACAAGGCCCTTACTCAAAGACAAGGCTATGTCTTCTCACCATATGTCTCCAGTGCCCAGCACGAAGGCCTGGAAGGAATGTTTGCTATCGAGCTCAAATGATGCAGCTGCTCCATAATTCTCTCTGCAGTGACCCTGTTAGGTGTGAATGAATGAGCAAGCATGCCCCTTCCTCTTCAGGACTGTCCCTCTGCCACGCTACCTTCTCTGCAACCAGTGGTGTTGTCTGTCCACCTCCTCTGGGAGACCTTCTACTCCCTCCCACCCACAGGATTGTGTCTCTTCTGGACTCCCACAGCTCCCATGGTCTGTGCCACTCCTCCTGTGGTGATGAATGAAGGCTACCCTGGTCTCAATCCCCATTAACCTCCAGTTCACTGACATATGTGTGCACCACCTAGTGGCCAAAGCAGATAAGTGTAGGCTTAAGGTAGCAAAATCTGCATGTTCTATATGCAAATAAAAACAAAAGTATGTGTTCAAGAATCACTGTGTAACAATTTTTACCAATAAAACTTGGATATCCAAGCAATTCCCTTGAAGTCATTCAAAAATAAAAGGAATAAAATGAAAGGGGAAATGTCCCCTACTGGTCGACCTAGTATAATCATTTGAGATTGCCAATGAAAACCGTATGGCCTTTGAAAAAATAGGGTACATGATTTATGGAATTTTACCAGTAATGTACACTCAGTTTCATATAGAGGGTACATGTTAGATGTAAACATCAAAGTATTATAATCAGTTACCAACTGAGAGATAAGGGTCTTTTATATGGAGATATATTATCAAATTGTCTGGAAGGCAAAATGTACAATGTAAGATGGAGGAAATGAAGTTGGTGACCTTCATTTGGAAGGCTCCCGGGGCCTGGGGGTCGAGAGCTGAGCAGCTGAAGCACTAGCCAATCAAAAGCTGCTGTCTAAGGAAGGCGGGGCTTTACAGGTGTGGTAGAGTGTGCGTGCGTGTGTGTGTGTGTGTGTGTGTGTGTGTGTGTGTGTGTTTTATTGAGTGGGGGGCATTCCTCCTCATTGAAGGAACTCCACACCTAGACAGAAAGGTGTCCAAGTGGGCCGACATGGTGTTCCGGGGCTCTGGGAGGAGTGTGGGGGCACCAGTGTTGGGTCAGGTAGGAGCTGACGCGGGAACTCGTGGCTGTGCATGAGCCCTGCGTCCAGCCTTCCCTGGAAGAAGTGGTGCCCCGGGAACATTTTGAAGAAACCCATTTCTGTGCTTAAGCACCATGAGATGAACGCTCCATCGTGACCAGAAGGACCACAGGGGTCTGGGTATTCCAAGGACAACAGAAGCAATCTCCAAAGTTGATGCCAGCCAGGGATGCCAGCACACCTACGGTGAATGCTCAGGGAACTGTCTACCACATCCTGTCTGCCAGCTCCAGGAGTTATTCACAGTCTCCCTTGCAGCCAGTGGAAGCTGTTTTGTTACTACAATGTCACCTGACCTCTGGTCACAGTAGACTGCCCCAAGAGTGAAAGTACTAAAAGGTGGGTCAATTAGAAACCTTATCCAGGAATTTCGAATTTTTTATGGGTTCAATTTATTCTCAATGAAAACTATTGTTGTCTGAAGTTAAAGAACCTAACTTTAATTTTTTTGTAATTATGAAAACACTGCTTATTTTTGTCATTTTCCAAATTTTTAGAAAATTCAGAGAGTAAAAATTAATGAAATCTCACTATTAAATGAGAACCACAGGTAGCATTTTGTGTATTTTCTTATCATCTTTCTTACTTGTGTATATTTAATGAGATCATATTAATATATAAAAATAAAGTATGTTTTAATCTTTATTATGGTGTTTTTGTTCTTTTTTATTGTTGTTGTTTTTGGCCCCAGGCCAAGTCTTTGTTTTGAAGTGTAAGGTATAAGTCATGTATGTTTACTGTCATAACTGATATGTTTGTTCTTACTGCTACAATTTTGTTTCTAGTCCTTTTTTCCCCCCAAGGAAGGTGGCATTAATCAGCAAGACAGAAGGGTACCACTGGGTTGTTCTGTCACACGGAGGCGGTTTGAAAGGCCCAGCTACTGCAGC